TTTTGAGACAGGGTTTCTCTGTGTAGCTTTGGAGCCTGTCCTGGTACTCCCTCTGTAGACCAGGCTGGCCTCGAACTCAGAGATCGGCCTGTGTTTGCCTGTGCTGGGATTAAAGGCTTGCACCACCACCCAGCTTCTTTCCCCTAACTCTTATGCTGAAGTCTATATTAAAATACCTTTGATAAAAATCTCCAACTCTGCATGTGTCTACACCTGAAATTTCTTCTTTTCCTTAAAGTCATGAATATCAGGCTGGCCCTGAGTTGAGGTCCCGGGAAGGCTAGGGGACCCCTGCATGCTGCTGAGGTAGCAGCGTGGAGCTGTGTGTCCATCTCCTCACCACTGACACTCACACAGAGTTGTTCAGAAAGATGTCGATGTACATCATTGTAGGTCTAACGGTGTGTGTTGGGAAGGGCGAGGTTTATGCCCAAGTCATCTTCACATTGCAGCTGTCCCGAGGACCCTCCTCACAGGCTGCCTGTTGCACAGCAGATCATTAGCAAGTGTCACTGACTTAGCAAATGAATGAATGAGAGTCCAGGGTCTCACTGTACTTACTTCTCATAGTTGAGAATAAATTCACTCCTATTTTTGGTTCTCAAGTTCTGGTTTCTTCCTTCCTTCCTTCCTTCTTTTTTCTTTCTTTTTTAAAATGATTTATTTATTTGCACTGGTGCATGTGTCTAAGGGGTGTTGGATCTTCTGGAACTGAAGTTACGGATAATTGTGAGCTGCTATGTAGGTGCTGGGAATAAAGTCATGTCCTCTGGAAGAGCAGCCAACACCCTTAACGGCTGAGCCATCTCTCCAGCCCCAAGTTCTGCTTTCTTTAGGAGAAAGAAAGTATTTAAATAACAGATCCAGCAGCAGAATAAGACAGTCTTGGGTTTCAGGTGTGGTTCAGCGGCCAAGAATGATGTGGCGTGATAAGGCCTGGGTTCCATCCCAGCACTGCATAAACAAACAAAAACAAAACCAGAGAAATCAGAGAAATCTTGGAGGGTTATAGCAAGGCTTGTCAAGGAAGAGTGCTGCCTCCAAGAAGCAGCAGCAGCAGCAACAAAAAGGATTCTGCTTCCTAAAATAATTCTAGGTTAAACAAAATTCAGCCGTGGCGTGCCTACACGCCCCTGAGCTTAACAGTGGAAATGACTTTTCCTGGTGGGATTGTTAGCCATGTGTGTGCTTGTGCACACGGATGTGGCTGAAGCGTGTGTGCATGATATACTTTTATAGCATGAGAATAGAGATGAGCCTGGTTGACCTCTGTCAGCAAACAATTCTGATGTTGAGCCACTGCCGGGGAGCTGTGGAGCCCAGGAGGACTGGCTCAGCGAGACCCGTGCTCAGGATGTCGGAAGAGTAGTTGATGCTTTGCTGTGCCCTCACTTAAAAAAAAAAAAATCGTTTTATTTTATGTGCGTGCGTGTTTTGCTTGTACACCTCCATGCAAGCTTGGTGCCCATGGAGGCCTGTAGAGGGCAGCAGATCTCCTGGAACCGCAGTTACCGACAGTTGTGAGCTACCATGTGAGTGCTGGGAATTAAACCTAGGTCTTCTGGAAGAACAGTTTAACTACTGAGCCATCCCTCCAGCCCCTGACCCTCACTTTTGATACTTTTGCTTATTTCTGTCCACTCTAATACTGTCTTTAGGCTCATATCCAGCAGCCAGTGAGGCCCTGCACAGGCCTCTAGCTATTCTAGTTCCTACTTACTAAGTCTTCCCATCACACCGGTGTGTGTGTGTGTGTGTGTGTGTGTGTGTGTGTGTGTGTGTGTGTGTGTGTGTGTGTGTGTGTGCATCCTCTCCAAGTGCTTAACTGAAATAGCCGGGACTGAGGGCTCATCTGGGCAATGGGGTGGGACCGCAGGGCAGCAGTACTGGGGTTTAGTGGTAGGGTCTCATGCATGCTTGACCTGAGCTCGTCCACTGAGCACGTGTCCTCAGACAGCGATTTGGGTGACAGCCTTTCCTACTTACTGTGACCAGCACAGCCCATATTTGCAGACTGGGTTATATTTTCAAGGAAATTCTCCCAGTTGGTAGGCAATAGCTCCAGAATTCAGTAGGGTAGTGTTTTAGTCAGTATTCTATTGCTGGGAAGAGATGTCATGGCCACAGCAGTCCTTACAGAGAAAAGCATTTAACTGGGGCTGGCTTACATTCTGAAACTGGTCCATTGTCATCATGGTGGGACATGGCACATGGCAGAGCTAGAGCAGACATGGTGCTGGGGGGGTGGGCACTGAGAGTTCTACACCCTGGCGGGCAGCAGGAAGAGGGCGTCTGAAACCTCAAAGCTGTCCCCAGTGACACACTTCCTCAACATAAGGCCTCATGCCCTAATCATTTCCAATAATGCCACTCCTTATGAGCCTGTAGGGGACACTTTCACTCAAACCCACCGCAGGTAGGCTGTGAATAAATTCAAGATCAGAAAGGTTGAGAAGACGGTGCTGATCAGGCCCAGCTCCTGTGTGCTGTGCCCGCCCAACAGTGCAAACCAGCCAACTTTAGACTATGGCCCTGCCCGAGGAGCGGTGAGCACAGGCAGATGGCAACGCCCGCTGCTCCACACTGCCAGTGCGCTTTCATTCATGACGCCAATGCTGGCTCACATTCTCTGTCTCTCAAGAGAGTGTCATGGGCTGAACTACAGCCTGAACGCCTCACAGTGTGACTGTGTTTGGAGATAGGGTTTTTAGGCAGATAAGTAAAAACGAGGTTATGGGTGTGTCCTCTAAACCAGTAAGACTGATTGGTGTCCATGTAAGAAGAGGGAATCTGGACACGTGAGTGCAGAGGGAAGAACATGCAAAGGCTGGAACAAGACCTCAGGGTGCCAAGCCAGACAGAGACCTTAGGAGGAAGCCACTCTGTCCACGACTTGAGAATGGCTTCTGGCCTCCTAGAGGTGAGGACACATGCCTTTAAGTCAATGGCAGCCTTTGCAGCTTAGGCAATCGCTATGTTAATTCACAATCTTACACCTGAAGCAACCAGAAAGCAGAGACAGGCCCTGATTCTGAGGTGACCGGAGCACACATCCAAAGTTTGGTAGTGTCTAGCACACTTGACGTTGTCTCTGAGCAAATATAGAAAAGGCTGGGAAGCAGGTGCCTGCCGGAGCCCCATGGATTGCCTTCGGACCAGCTGGCTGATAAGTCAGTGCAGATTTCTGTTTGCTTGTCCCCTTTGTGCAGAGTACTGCTGCCTGGCTGCAGCACAGAGCCGCCAGTGGCCTTCACCACACCTCAGCATCTTGGCTTCGCCTCTGCCTTCCCTACAGTCTTGTTAGGAAAGGTCTTCTTTCCTCTCTGGGTGCCGGGCATGTGAACCAGGGCAGTATATTCCTACTCTCCAGGAACTTCTTTGGAATGTGCAAACACTGCCTTGCTCTGCCTGTTTGCTCCCCTCGGACTTGGTATATTGTCTTTGACCCTGTGCCTCCGCATGCATTTTACTGTTTTCTTCCCAAAGCTTTGACATCTGGGGACACTGTGACCCGGAAGGGAAAGATCCCCGTCCCCACCTGCAGGGCTTTCGGAAAAACCCACAAGTTTTCTCAACTCCAGATCATCTTTAATATGCAAACCAAACTAATGGAGTGGATGCCATTCTCCACCTGTCCTACGCACCCAGAGCTGAGTGCTAGACAGCTAGGAAGTTTACGGCACTCAGAACAGGCTACAAAGATTCCAAGTAGTCTTTCCCGCTGCCTTGACTTCCTACAGACACCCCGCTAAAGGCCTTCTCTCAGATTGGGCTCCGTTCCGCCTGCCAATGCATGCTACAGGCTGTGTGAGCCTTCTTAGTCAGCCAGTGCGGTCACCCGTGGCCTGAGTGAGGCCACTCCTCACCTGGACTTCCTTTTCTCTGAGACATGGCTTGATCCAGGTTTCTTGGCTTTACCTCTCCCTTGCTCGTGCGTCGGTCCCGGATGTGCCCGGCTGTAGCTCTCCCTTTCTGCAGCACCACCCCCTAGTTTCTCTTTGAACCCTCCTTTTTGGGCTGTGCCACCATTTAAGGGAGTCCTTTCTCAGTGCCTCATTCCCCTTAGAACGACCCTCACACGTCATGCCTGGTTTTGTCCCCTTTCTGTTTTCTGGTTTTATCTGGCCATTGCTGTGCCTGTCACCACTAAACAGGCAACTCAAAGTATCCAAAGTATCCACTGGTTTCTTCGACAGGGAACTGTCTCTTGGAACAGTGCCGAATGACAGCCGTTGGCCCAAACAGGTCCACGATTACAGTGAGGTGCGCTGGTAGGAAGAGATTCGGGGCGATCCACTTACATAGCCCCCTGAGACCCCTGAGCCATCTCTCCAGCTCCCGCCCATTGTACCCGAGGGCTCCTGATGAAGCGAGCATGTGGAAGAAAGGATCGAGCATGTGGAAGAAAGGATCAAATACTCAATGGAGAGAAACAAGGCAAGGTAAACATGAATTCTTAGCAAGCTTTTTAGAGTTCCCTTTTGTTTTAAGGACTCTTTGCGTGCCTTTTCCATGAAATGAGTTGGACAATACAGGTGCTGAGTGCTGAGATGAGTGTGTGTTAGCATGTGTAGGGGAAGGTGTTAGGGAACCTGCTATTGTAATTAAGTGGCCAAACATGCACATGCAGTGTTTGTAAATGGGGCACTTGGAAATGAAGGGCTTGAGAACACTTTGAAAGGATATTATTTTTAAAAAGCAGGAAAAAGACTAATTAAAGTTTAAGGACCATTCAATCCCTTCCTCTAGGCATCCAGCTAAAATAAACATACAAGTTGCAATTTTAATGGTGCCTGCAAAGCCCGTTAGAAAGCAGATCCTTGGGCACCCAGGCCATCAACTCCTCAGAGTTCCAGCCTGAAGGGCTCCAGCTATAGAGCAACCTCCACAAGCTTATGCCACGTGACTGGATGAGATGACTACCTGCCCTTTCCCTCCAACTGGCTCTTATTTATACACTGCCAAGAGCTGAAAAAAATCCGAAGCACAAGACAAAATCCTCAAGATGTTATTGGGTGTATTAAAATAAAATCAAAAATAGAATTATTAAGTATATACACAATAGCATAAGTGCAAGGGGCAGACACAGCGGTTTCCGATTGGAGTTTGCGATGGAAAACCCAGGTAACAAAGCTTCTCAGGTCTGCCAGAGATGTCTCCATGGTTACCTCCTTCCTACCTGTAAGTGTAAAAGTCTCTCACACATCCTACACAATTTAGAAAAGATTACATCACAAAAATAGCCCCAAATATGGCATTTTTAACTTCTTTAGAGTACAGCTAAAATATATGATTCAAGAATGTTCAAGTCACTTGAAGAAGTCAAAGACATCCTTTACGGTTTTGGAAGGCAGGTAAAGTCCTGACATATTACTCTTACAGTTCTCCCAAAGGACCCCATCAAAAAGGCCTTTAGAGTCCTGTCACTCAAACACCCAGATCATTACAAACGTTTCTCCATAGGGCAGAACCCAAGGCTTTCCCACCTTGGCTGGGAGGGCTGGGTGGTGGGGCGGCTCCAAAGGGTTCCAGATCAGCTGTGGTCGCTCTGCATGCTCACACATGATGCTCTTGCAGGGCGAGCTCAAGCTACCACCTGTCCGGCCACCTTACCACAAAGGAAAATGCTTAACAGTCTCAGAGCAGAGTGGGGGTGGGGTGGGGGCATGGGAGTGGGGTGGAGGTGGGGAGGAACTAAACCTCCAAAACAAAAACATTCAAAAAAGACAGTTTAAAGCTGGTGGCTTCATGTGTAAAACTTAACAGACTGGATTAGTAGTAGTAGTTTTTTTTTTTGTTGTTGTTGTTGTTTTTAAAGTAAGCCAAAGCATGGAGAAGGTCAGGGAACATCTGTTTGTGCACGGGGTTATTTTTGTTAAGTGAGTTTAGTTCTTGCTGCGTTTGGGAATTTGTTGCAACAGTCTCTGAACTCAGCCCATGGAGCCTGTGTGGTGCATACTGGAAATAGCAGGCGTTTGTATTTTGACTCTGGTCCCACTGAGCAGTGGCCACCCACTAAAGAAGCAGCATCCTAAGTCCAGGGTGTTCTTCCTGAGTTAGTTCGGCCTGTCCATCAGGAGCCAGGAACGCAGAGTCCTGGCATGAGATGATTAGCTGAGCCCGAAGGCTGCTTTCCCTACTAACTACTACGGGCAGGTCTTCGTGCCCATTACGGTTGCTGCTGGTACTGCCCTTCCGTGGCAGTGTAGAAATCATCCAGGACACTCTGTAAGTAGTCAAAAGTCGGCCTCTCCTCCGCTTTTTCTTTCCAACACATTTTCATGATCTCATAGAGCTCATCTGGGCAGTTCTCCATGCGTGGCATCCGGTAGCCCTGTGACAGCGCGGTCATCACATCTGCATTTGTTCTCCCTAGAGCCAAAAGCAAACAAAAAAGTGGCCATGTTGAGTCTAGAAGCCCAGCTCAATGGCGGAGGACGGCAGGGGCCAGCTTGCTGTTGGTAGCCCTGCAGCTAGGACTGTAAGACTCCCTTAAGTCTACCTATGGTTTGGAGTATGTTCTCTCCAATTCAGGTTTTAACTGTCAGTCCCCCAGAGTGACACTATAACTGAGATAAGGCCCTAAAAGAGGTGATTAAGTTAACATGAGCCTTGTAGGTGGAGCCTAGTCCAATGTGACCTGGATCATACCAAGAACACACACACACACACACAAGTCCATGTAAGGCCCAGTGGGCCAGGCAGTATCTACTTACTATCCAAGGAGAGAGACCTCAGATGAGACTCACTTTCCCAACTCCTGACCTCTGGGATTCTTCAGCAGCCACAGCAGTGTGGAATTTCTGCTGCTTTAAGTCACCTTGCCGACAGTGTTTGGGATGCCTTTCTTTCTCAGCAATTAAGACAGAGAAGGAACTCGGCAGGCAACTCGATAAGTACGTTCTAGAATGGGTGTGTGTGTCAAGAAGGCATCAATTTGCAAAAGCAAAATCAGGCACACTTCATAGGCATTAGGACCTGAATTAGACTACCAGATTCCACATAAAAAACCAAGCAAGGCGGTGCACACTTGTAATCCAGACTCTCGGGACAGTGGGGAGGGGGGCAGCGAAGGTAAGATGAGCAGATCTCTGGGGCTGCTAGCCAGCCAGCCCAGCCTATTTGGCAAATTCCAGGCTAATGAGAGACTCTGTTTCAAAAGACAATAGACAGCGCTGAAGAATGATTCCCATGTTGTCCTTTGGCCTCTACAGGCATGTGTACACATGTGTGCCTGTACTCATACACACACACACACCTGCACACCTGTAAATAACTCCCTCACTTTAACACACGCACACATACATACAAATCAATATTGGACTTGGATGACCTTTTACATTAACCATACCAGACCTTGGTTTCCTCTTTAGTAGGACAGATTCTTTTTAGCATCTAAAAAAAAAATTAAAAATATCTTGCACACATCTCATACTTTGAGGACCCCCTCACACACACAACTGGCAACCCTTCTCTGGCTTTCTTTCATAGAACAGAGGTACTAAGGACTAAGGAGCTCTCCTGATATGAACAATGGTCTCTAAATGGAAAGAATCAAATATGCTTTACAGTAGTTTGTATCTCTTTTCTAAAATTTCATTCATTTGTTATGTGTGTGAGTGTCTTGCCCAAGTGTATGTCTGTGGTGTCGCATGTTCCTGAAGAGGCCAGAAGAAGATATCAAATTCTGTGGGACTGGAGTTATAGATAGTTGCGAGCTACCATATGGGTGCTGGGAATTGAACCCTGGGCCTCTGAAAAGTCAGTCAGTGCTTTTAACTGCTGAGCCATCTCTCCAGTCCCTTTCCTCCATCTGTATCTCTTGCAAGTTGTTTACCTGGTGAATTAATTTTTTTCAAGTCTATTTATGAAATGCCACTTTCCTATCTGTCTCCTGGAATCCTCTAACTAGAAGCTTTCTGGTTCTTGCCGCCCAGCCAATGAGCAGGTAGCTATCACTTTCTGTAATTGGAACTTGGATCTCCACAAACTTATGTGACTGACTATTGGGTTCATTTCTGCAGAAATGTCTGGTTTTACTTCTGCCTGAAGTCTAGGGTGCCAGAGGGAGGGAGGTCACACTCAGGACGGTACAAATAGCAATGCAGCTGCCAGCTTGGTTAGGAACATCTCTTTCACTTCCTTCTTACATAAAAGGTCAGATGCCCAGAGAAGGTAAAAGCCTGTAGGGTCTCCTGAGCTTCCCTGCAGATGTCTTCTTCCTTATTCTAGCACGTTCTCTTAACTCTGAAGAGAATCATCAATGCTGCTGACCAAGGTCAGCATGCTCTGTTCTGCCTTGGGAATCTGCTTCGTAAGAGAACAAAGGAGAATCGGAAAGCCAGCTTTTCATGCTTGAGTGGACCAACACATAAAGCAAGCCATGGTATGGTAAGTCCTATAGAAGAATGGAAGTGGCTACTTAGCTTGTGGCTAGGCTAAAGAATCCAAATGCCCATTGGCTGGAGGCCTCCAGCCTTTCCTGTAGTATTCTTCATTCTTTCTGCTTACTACTAAACTCCATGCATGGGTCATGAAATAGCACTAAGTTCGGAGGGATGCAGAGAGATGGTTAACATGGAGAGCTGTTCCCAAGGACACAGAGGGAAAGATGCTGTCGCTTGGGGACAGGGGAGGTGATATCCAGAGTGCAGGAAGTGGCATCCAGAGAGCAGAAATAAGCAGAAACTACAGGCTTGTCAAAGAGCATGGGAAGGAAGAAGGTGTGGTACAGAGATCAGCCAGAGCGTAGAACATTACAGTCTTTCAGGACATAGCGGTTTCTGGGTAAGGAGGTAATAGTGTAGAAGAAACCAGAATGAATCATCTTTTCCAAGCATCATTTCAGGTCAAGGCAGATATTCACAGTAGGATGGATTTTAAAATTTGGGTTCACACATGGTTGGAAAAGCCAGAGACAACAAGATAACATCGTGCAAATGACACAAAAGGTTTTGCGTCATTTTGAAGCGTGTTCTCATTGTAAGAGAAGATCACCTGCAGAGACCCCTCCCTTCTCTTCTCTGTAGAAGAGCCGTATACAAATACAACCATACGTTTGGTTTTAAGACAAAAAGAAAAAAAAAGAAAAAAAAGAAAAAAAAAAAAAGAAAAAAAAAAAAAAAAAAAGAAAAGAAAAAAAAAAAAAAACGAGGATCTTTTGGGTTCCCTTCCATTTCTCCCTATAATTCACCTAAAACAACCAACAGTTGAAAAGGAGAACGAGAAATGAAAACTTAGACTCTACCTTTGCTGAGGCTCAGAGACATCTGGCACTCAGAGAGGCAGAGGTGGCCAGAACCAAGGGGAAGAAAGTGCAAGCCAAGTGTCTACAGAAAGGGACAGCCTGTTGGCCTATCCTGACACACCCTGGTGAGTCTCCAGATGAAGTGGCAAACACCTGACCAAGATGGGAGAGGTCAGTGGCCACAGACAGTGTGGTACCCAGAGCTTGTCTGGCCATGCCCATGTTAGTGCTGCAAACGCAGAACATGGCCTGGGTGTGTCCTCCTGAGACTAATGTTGAGGATGGAATGGTATCCTGGAAGTATTGTGAGGTGGGCTCTGTAAAAGAGGGCTAGGTTGGTAAGCAAGGCAGATGCCCTTCTCACAGGGACCAATGCTTGTTCTTGAGGGCCCACATCAGTCGCCAGGAGAGTTTTTAGGAGGCCATCCCCTCTACTAAGCTCATTCTGCACGAGCCTGCTTGCTCTTCTGCTTTCCACCTTGCATCGAAGCCATGTGGCAGCAAGCTCAGGAGGCCAAAGTGTTGGATCCCCAGGGATTGGAATTATGGGTAGTTGTGTGCTGCCATGTAGGTACTGGTAATCGAACCTAGGTCCTCTGGAAGAGAGTGCTTTTAACTGCTGAGACCTCTCTAGCCACTAAAACTTTAACTTTAAATTCTCTTATTCACACAGTTTTGTCTGACTGGAAGAAACTAAAGAAAAAAATTGGGAATTTAAGAACGACCTTTGCCATATCAATACAGACTCTGGAGGAGGGCAGGCCAGGCAGAACCTGGCACAATGAAAGGCAGGGATAGATACCAAACAGTGTTCTCAGGGGCATCCTAAGTTAAGAGCAGAAGAGTCCTTCACTGATGACCAGTAGCAAGTACCTCCTGAAAAGAGACTCTACCACCTTGCTTGCTCTTGAAACAGGCAGAAGACGTTGAAGACCCTGGTTCCTTGTACATTTTGCCTCATCTGGAGCCCCGCCTGTCTAATGTGCCTCATTTAAGCACCCAGGCTAGTGCCAGGTGCAGTCACAGTGGTAAGTGGTGAAGTTGGTGAAGGAATCGTAAAATAAAGGCGTAGAAGCTTCTACACATCTTTCAGAGGATTTTCACGAAATATAATGACCGGGAGCTCTCTCGGAAGCATCATTTGGGTTGACGGCACTACTGTGCCTTGTAAATGTCTTCAGACTGCTGAGTTCTCCCTTCACGAGGAACAATTGAGTGGGGAGGGGGCAAGCAATACCTGGGTAAGGGATTTTCCCATAGGTGACGATTTCATACAGGAGAATCCCGAAGGACCACACGTCAGACTTGATAGTGAAGCAGCCAAAGTTGATGGCCTCTGGAGCTGTCCACTTGATGGGGAACTTAGCACCTGGGGAGGGAGACACAGGCTCTTACTCAGAGCTCAAGCTGGAATGTCGTGGATCATTCTCGCCTTTGAGTTTTCACAAATTCATGTTATTGTTTGGGATAAGACACATACACAATCAAAATGGATGTGGTGTCAAATGTCATTTTAATACATTCACCTTCCTCTTTGAGCCCTCCCTTCCTTAGAAGCACAGTTTCTTCTGAAACCCCTAGGGGGCACTGTAACTGGCCTAACTCCAAACGCAGAAGGACATGGCATACAACGTAAAGACTAGTGTGTATGTTTACCTTTCAAACCACACCCTTTAGCATTGATACCCAGTGTAGACATTTTATCCAGAGTCATGCATGCTGATGTGTACCTTAGTCTCAGCTGAGGCAGAAGGATCTCTTGATTCCAGGACTTTAAAACCAACCTGGACAGTCAAGCAGGACCCTACCTCAAAACACCAAACCAAACAAACATAACAAAATGTCCCCTCTCACCTTTCCCCACAAAACAGTTCACATTTTTTCTGTAATGAGTTCATTTCATAATTGCATAGATGTGTCTTTTATTTCATTTAAATTTACCTATTTAATTTTTACTGATAGGGATCAGAGTTAGGCCCTCATGCATGCTAAATACACACTCAACACTGAACTATACCCACAGCCAGAATTATATATAATATGTGTGTGTATATGTACGTATGTATCACATATCTTATGTGTATCAATGTGTATGCTTTCGTATACAAATAATTCTCAGCTTGTGCCCAGGCAATCACAGATGTTGCTCCAAATGGCACAATCCCTTCTTCCATTGACAAATCATATTGGATGGTCAGAACTGAGCATGGTTATCTACTTAGAATGAGACAGTGATGGAATGAGGTTCTTTTGAGTTGCTGGTGAGGCTGGGGGATCAGGAACAGGCAGCTGTAGCCAGGGACACACAAGGTCCCTTGAGGAAAGCAAGCCCTATCCCAGACTCCAGCATCAGGGTACTGCTAGGGGTTCATAGCCATCACTTGTAAACATTGTCTATACTATGTCTTTGCATGAGGTTTCTTCTGCAGTGTCTTACTGAAACTGGAAGCTCCTACAAGAACAAAGAAGAGAGTTGTGTGACACCTGTGTGTTGGGCAGCATCACTAATTCCTGCATGGTCTCTTGACAACCTGGAGCAGTGGTGCATGATGGGAGGGAAGAGGAGAAGATAGGACCATCTCTGGGTTACTGCTGTCTCTTTGGTATAATCTTAACAAGTTTCATACTGTCTTTGTGCCCAGTGTGCAATCCAGAACCCAAGATTAGCATATGGTAGAAGATTTATTTGTCAAAGACTCAGTGCTTGTTGGTGTCAACAAAACCAGTAGAATCATTTCTCTCTTATGTACTTTGAGGCTGGATTCCCTGCTTTGAAGCCCGGCTCAGCTCCTTAAAGAGGGGTCTCTGGGGCTACAGAACCTTTGAGGTCCCCCATCTGTGTGTAGCACAGAATGTGTTACAAACATCTCTGCAGGTCAGAGAAGCAAATGCACTTTATAATTGAGTGAGGAAATTTGCCTTACAGGGTAAACAAAGAATCCTAATTTTGACAAATTTAGTCTTGTTTCACTTTGGTTAACTGAAATACAAGGCTGGGAGTGTGGTACACACACCAGCACTTGGGAGGCTGAGGCAGAAGGATTTATAGTTTGAGGCCAGCCTGGGTTACACAACAAGACCTTGCTACAAATCAGTGGTAGAACACTTATTTGCAAGCCTGAGACCCTAGTTCATTAATCCCAAGTATGGAAAAGTAAAACAAACACCTCCCCTGTCTCAAAACAATAACAAAGAAGAAAGACAGATGTTACTGTTTATGACCTTGTTAAAGTGTTAAGTGCCATTAGCCAAGAGAGAGCCCATTAAGAAGTGAGCTACAATTCTGGCACATCTCGAATATTGCACCAAATACATAGTTTTTCAAAATGATGATTTTTTGGGGGTAAATGTTTATTTTTTTAAAAATGAAATGAGACAGTAGGACAATAGTTAAATAGTTCTTGTTATATAGTTTTTTCTTTAGTTTTTTGTCTAGATGGTTAACCCTCTGTCAGATATGTAGGTAATAGATTTTCTCCCATTGCCAGACCATCTGTATGTGCTACAGAGCAAGACCTGGAAAGCGGAAGCTAGGTGGTCCGTGGGAGCAAAGGGAACACTTGGGGGGGACAGGGTGTGAGAAAGGAGAGGGCATCAGGCATGGAGGGCGAAAGGTGTTGAAAGCACATTACACACTTGCATAGACATGGCCTCTGTAACCCAGTATCCATACCTTCCCTCGCTGTGTACTCATTATCTTCGATTACTCTTGCAAGGCCAAAATCTGCAATCTTGCACATGAGTGCATCAGAGACTAGGACATTAGCCGCTCGCAGGTCACGATGGATGTAGTTCTTCCTCTCGATGTATGCCATGCCCTCTGCAATCTGCAAACAGAATGGGCCCAGGTTTGTATTTCAGGTAAGCAAGCTGTCATGGGTTGGCCATCAAGAACTAAAAACACCTTGAGTTTTTGAGACCCGTTCATGTGTATTAGCTGATTGCTCAAGGGTTTAAGATAGTGATAAAGTCACCTTCAAATCCTTTCTAAAATCTGCCCCAACTTCTCTAAATGACGGCAACTTTAACAAAGGTTTTATTTTTCACTACATGCGTGCATTTGTGTGTGTCATGTCTGTGTGAGAATGTCAACATCGAGTGCAGGTGCTCAGGGAGGCCAGAAGGGGCATCAGATGCCTTGGAGCTGGAAACAGGCAGTTGTGAGCGGCTGAGCCATCTCTTCAGCCCCATGGCGATGTTTTGTTTTTTTTTTTTAAATAACAGTATACACCACCATTTTTTTTTTTTTAAAGTGTGAAGACTTTTCTTAAGACCTGTAACCCCTGGCCATGCTGATGTGCAGCTGTCCTTATGTTAGATTCTTGAGTGAGGAAACATGCTATGCTCTGGTTGTTTGTGTCCCCCAAGTTCATATATTGACACCCCGATCCTCAATATTATCCTTAATGTGCTGGTGGCCATAAAGTAATTGTGTTAGGGGGTCAGGGCAGACTTGGTGCCCTTATACAAGAGGTCACAGAGAGCTCCCTGGTCCTTTCTACCCTGGACAGCCTTAGCTATTAAGAGGCTGTCTGTGAAGGAGAACAGGCCCATGCCAGTCACTGAATGTGCAGGTGCTTTCTCCTGGATGCCCCTACAACTGTGAGAAATGAATGCCTGTTGTTTGAGCCATTCAGTCCATGGTATCCTGTGGTAGAATTGAGACAATAGAAATGAAGAAATGTACTAATACAAGTACGTTAGCAGGGCATCAGGAAGAGGGTGTGAGGGACATGCTGGTTAGCCAGAGCCTCTCGTCAGGCTAAGAAAGAGGTGTGGTAGCCGGTCTTCAGAGGTCTGATGGGAGAGGTCATTCTGTAAATGTTTCTCATACTGGTTAATGAATAAAACACTGTTGGCCAATAGGAAAGCAAGAAGGGGGAGGGAAAAAAAGGAGGCAGGAGTAGGGAGGAGCAGCCGGAGAGACGGGACAGAGGTCCGGGCCCCCCCCCCGAAAGAGACCGGGAAAACTGAGATTAATAGAAATGAAAAAAAAAAAAAAACAAAAAAAACCAAAACAATCAAGAGGTATTCTGAGATGGATAGGAATTCTTCAAACCTCAAAGACCTACAGAATATGGCATAAAATGGTTTAGGGTTTCTTGACAGGAGACAAAAGCCCGGCAACACCACCTGTCAGAAAGGAAGATGGACATCGAAGAAACGCATTAAGAAGTTTTCCAAAGGCAAACTAGCCATTTGGGAAATACGCTCTTGTCTGGACTGTTGCTTTAGCTGATAAACGGGACAGGTAGGAACCCAGGAAAGAGCTGATTCAAGATAGACATTGCTACAGAGTTCCGCTTCATGGAAGAGTCTGCCAGACAGTCTGCAGGACACAGAGAAAAGGGACGACAAACGCCAATACAAAAGACAGTTTAAACTTTTCTGCTTTGCTGAAGAGCCCGCCAGACACACATGGTTTATAGGCTGAAGATGGACCATACAGAAGAACCGGGGCGCCAGGCCCGTCATTCTAGACTTAATATTAATTACCTCTGTGGTCTTTGAAGGAGTTGAAGACAAATGGTATGGTGATAGTTCCTAGTTAGGATTAAAGATAAGGTACAGAAGACAGACCAGAAGATAGGATAGATGATGAAATATGTCTTTAAACTACTAATGTTAATGAACAAAATATAACTGTGATCACGATAACGTTGTGATATATTTTGCTATGTTAAGGTTAACCCTCTTTTATTTAGACAGAAAGAGAAGATGATGGGAGATGTCATTCTGTAATATGTTTCTCATCTGGTTAATGAATAAAGCACTGTTGGCCAATAGGAAAGCAAGATAGGGGGGCCGGGGGGACGGGGGGGGGGGAAAGAAGGAGGGGGGGGGGGGGAAAAAAAAAAAAGAGAGGGGGGGGGGGGCCCCCCCCCCCCCCTGTGGATATCCATGAAACCACATGGATATACTTAGATTAATAGAAATGGGTTAATAATTAAGACAGAGCTAGCCGATAAGAAACTAGTAACTGGCCAACAGCATTTATATCTAATATAATGTCTCTGTGTATTATTTGGGGCTGGCACTGCAGTGGGTTCAGACCAGCAGGAAAAACATACATGTAACAGAGGTCTGAGCACAGTCCCCCAGGATAAACAGAATATACAGATGGAAACAAAGCAAGCCCATGGGGGAGAACGAGGAATTCAGATAAACAATAACACAGAGAGGAGAAATGACTACATAGTGTGCTGGTAGCAAACACGGCACAGCCCCAAATCAGATAAAGGATTGTACCTCCAAACTGCATAAAGATAAGGAAGGAAGCGAGAGCGAGAACGAGAGCGAGAAGCGTGTCCTTGTGTGCGTGCGTGTGTGTGTGCATGCGTGCGTGCGTGTGTGTGTGTGTGTGTGTGTGTGCGCGCGTGTGTAAGAGAGAGAGTTAGAAGAGCGAATTGATGCTTCCGGACTCTGTGTTGAACTGCAGCCGCTCACCTGGGAGGACCTGACTTCCCCATCCTCATTACCTCACAGGTGAACCCCATCCAAGCCCCTCCCCCTCCACTGCTCAGCAAAGGAGCAGATCTTTGGCCCTCCCTTCCCCTCTGGGCTATATCCTCCTTCCCCTTTCAGAGCCATCCAGGCACACAGGCTTTGGCAGGAGTCATTCTTGTGGTCACAAAATCTTGAGAACAGTCAATAAGTCCCCAAACTACTTCAAAGTCTAGTCAACCCGGGATTTCACTCCTGATGGGCACCGATGCTTTAACATTGCTGCCAAGGTCCTGGCTTTGCTCCATCCTCCTGCCTCCTCACCATGCCCACTCCCACATCTCCTGGCTACCACCATCTAGCCTGAGCATCTCCACAGTTCCCCAGTCTACCCATGTGCCCGTCTCACATGCCCGTGCCCAAGTGTGAGCATCCCTGGGCACAGGCGAGCTGCTCCATCTGGCTCTAGACAGAGTTCAAAGCACATGGCATAGGACCAGACCTTGTACGAATGTGGTGATTGGTGAGCACACAAAATAGAAACCAGCTCTTGACAACAGGAAAACACGAAGCTGGTCTGGGTGGCCTCTGTTTCTCCCAACTCTCAACGGCCCTAGGCACTCAGAAGATGCACCCTCACCTGGAAAATATTCAAAATAGCTTCAACAGGAAGTCCACAGAAGGTGGTGAGAATGAGAGCCTGGTGAGGGCATGCTGGCATGTGTGACTTCCTCCAGAAGACTGGGCACCCAGACCAGTGAGGCACGGCATTGAGGGCAGAGAGTGACGTAAAATGAGGAGGCAGGAGTTCCTTTGTGCTCTGGCATTCCAAACTCAACCAGGCTTACTAAGAAGGGCCACTAAAGCTGGGGAAAGGGCATAGGCACCAAGCAGAAAAATGGGAGCATGTAGTGGTCATCCAGCTGCTGGAATGTCTGGGTTTAAGGAGACAGTGAGATATCTCCCTGAAATGAGCCAGAGGCAGGTCCAAATGGGACGCAAACAATTGCATGGTTGCTACTGATGCTGTCTGGGCCCCTTTCTAGCCTTCCTTGGTAGTTACGCCTTTGTGAAAAGGTAGGTCACAGACACCTACCTAGCTCATGTTCTACTGGTTATCTATAGCCTGGGCCAGGAGAGTAAAGGAGCTAGAGCTGCCTGAGATGCCAGCTTGGGCTTGAACTGCAGGTGACTGGAAACCTGTGTGGGACACACGGACATGAGCAGCAGCAGAGACGGCAAGGGCTCACCTCACCCTTATCCTCGGCCTCGAGGTCCCATGGCCAACTCATTCTAAGAACATGCTAGGAACTTGCTATGAAGGCTCCTATCACACTCAAGCTAGGCATCTGCTGCAGGGGCCTTGGAAACAGGAACAGCCTTGGTCAGGCCTTGCTTACTCCAGCTTTCTATTCCAGACAGAGCTTTGTGGAGTTCAGCTTCTAGGCAGTGCTGTGGGTGTTACTGAGATGAGACTCTAAGCGTAGCTCTAACTGAGCTGGGTAACCAGTAGACACCCCAGCAACGTAAGAAGCTATCAGGCACTACAGCCCTTCATTTCCATTTCCTTCCCTCTAGTCCCAATCTCTACTGCATTGTTCTTTTTTGACTTCTAAAAAGCAAGCAAGCAAACAAAACTTTAGAATTAAAAAATTGTTTTACATTAGCCAGAGCAAATCTGGCTATACTTGACGGCACCAGGAAGAAAACATAGTCAGTGGGTTCTGGTGGTCTAGTCTGGGAGGTGGGGCCTGGGGGGGCGGGGCCTGGGAGCGGGGGGGGGGGGGCTTGTTCTTAGGATACCTTCTTCCTCTTTCAGGACACTTTAGCATTTAGCACTACAGAAAGAAGTGTCATCGAAATCCATCCAACCAAGACACAGCCGTCCCTGGGGACTGAGTCCCAAGCCCTGGACATGCTAAGCCTGTGTTCTGCCACTTAAGTCCTCAGCCTTGCACTGTATCAACAGGAAAATGACTAAAATCAGTATTGGACTTATAATAGTAAATGATAAACACTAGAGCAGAGCTCTGAGAGGTCAGCTGGGGGCTATGTGGGCACAGCCTGGTCTCAGGCACACGGGCTGGGGAGGACCTGGGGCTATGTAGGTTGGCTACTGTGGATTCATGGAAGTGACTTGTCACTTCTGAGAGTGATTGACATGCTAGGAATCTTCTCTGTTCCTGTCATGGTGGAAATGCCCTAACCCCGGGATGTGACAAATGAGCAGAGACCTCCCAGAAAGGAGAAAGATGAAGTTTCCCACTTATTCTGGCGGGGGGGGGGGGAGAAGCAAGAGAAATGCCATTGGCTCTTCAGAGTCACAGCTGCCCCAGCTGTGGAACCAGTATTGACCCAACAGGTGACTCCCATATTTCCAGAC